TTTTGTTTTAATAAACACTTTAACTAATTATAATTAATCATTAATTAAGTACGAGTACTAAAACTAATGATTGATTCTTATTAATTAAGAAACAAACAAAGAAAGAGGTTAAGGAAAGATTCTAAATTTAGTAAACAACTCACTCATCTCAAATCTCAATCCTTAATTCCAGCAGAATCTTCGGAACTTTAACCATGTAAAGCAATTTCCCAACCTAATTCTACGACGGTTTTTAGATCACAGTAGACAGTACTACTACCTAACCAATCACCAACTCCCTTTTCTCCACGTCACTTGCTGACCTGTCATAACCATTGCTTTAAAATAAACCACGTGTACATTTCACGTGCTTGACGATGTAATGGTGGGCCCTTAAAAAATCATTCGGTAGAACCCCGTTGTTACTTTTCTCCGTTACTCCGTTCACAAGACACACCCACGTGTCGTCATGTCAGTAGGTCCCATTTCAAAGTGGTCCCCATTTACCCTTACCCCTCCTTTGATTGATACCTTCCATCCATCCTTTCGCTCTTCTGTGTGTTTTCTCTCTCATCTATCCTTTCATCATCAATAAATTAATTCTGGCCATTTGTGTCAGAAATCCGACCAAACGACTGTCAGATAATCTTATATTATAAATACCCATTCTTCTAACTTCACTTCAAATCTTACACATTCATCAACAAAAAAAAAAAATTGTTAAACAGCGCATTATAGCAAGAATCATTTACCAGTTGATCGAATATGCTACACTGCGCAGCAGATATGACTGTTTTAGAAAGACAACAAGCTCGGCAAAAATGGCAACAAGTCCCTCCACAACAACAACAAAATCATCAACAACAACAACAACAACAAAGCTATTTTAGCGATACCCAATTCAATTTACCAACTTCTGCTCAACAACAATTTCATATTATGATGATGAATGATGATTCAGTGATTAGAGACTTTGTGAACCGTTCAATTAAATTGGACCCAGGTTTGGATAATAATGGCTGGACAGATTTTGGGAAATACCCAGTTTCTGGAAATGGATTTGGTGGAGAAATTACTGGATTTGGTGTTAATGGAGTTGATTTGGTTGATTATTCACTTTCTAGAACTTCTAGTTGTCCAACTGCAGAGGTAAAGGTGGTGGATGAACTGGTGGTGACTGAGAAATTAGGTGCTAAGGTTGGAAAAGAGAGTTTCAAGAAGAGAAAAGCACAGAATCCAAAGGTTTGTGTGTTGAACAAAAAACGTTGAAATTGAGAAAACCCATGGTTTAATTTTGTTAATTAAATTGTTTTTTTTTTTTTTTA